GTGAGCACATCCAGGGCAGCATCTGTTAGCTGAAATATGTCAATTGGTATGCCATCTATTCCTGGGGCCTTATTTTTTGCTATTTCCTTCAAAGCATTTTAAACTTCTTCCTTCATCACCGTAGGCTCTTGCTCACATGTTTTTTTCATTAAATTCTTCTGTGTTCGGCGTACGGAGTGAAGATCGCTCGGTGGTGAGCCGTTGCCATGGCCATTTGTCAGTTCTTCCTTCAAGGCCGGTGCCGCTTTGGAGATCGGTGCTGGAATGAGCATCCTCGTGCCGGGAGAGCAGGCGGGGCGCTGAAGCAACCTCAGCAGCAGGCCTCAGGTAGTACCAGATGGTGGAATGACGGTAATCAGAGATCCTCCAGTGTGATCCAGCCATCCAGTTTCTCCAAGTCTTCGCCATTAGGGGGAAGCAGAGATCAAGTGAATCAATCAGGCAGCACTCTTGGCTCTGGAACTTCATCTAGCAGCAGTGGAGACTTGAGATTATCTCAGAGCTCACTTACTTAACTCTGATGAGCAGAAAGATGAAAAGAAACTTCTAGAAGAAACTATAAAAGATATGGAGGTTTGGGAATCACCAGGACAGTGGATGTTTTCTGTTTATTCTCCAGTGAAAAATAAGCCCAATGTTTCAGGCATATGTCACTATGAAATTCCTGACAAAGACGCCAGAAAACTATTACTAAGTTTTCCCAACGAAATAAAGGAAAACACGGGAAAATTTTTAGAAGAATTCAGGAAAACAATACAAGAACAAAATGAAGGAGTCGAAAAAAAAAACAAAATGAAAAATTCATTAAAGAGGTAGAAATCTTACATAAGAAACAGTTAGAAATTCCAGAGCTTTATGATAAAACAGAAATAAACAACACTATAGAAGAACATGCAAGTAGAGTCAAGGCAATGGAAGGAAAAGTTAGTGAAATACAAGACAAAATTGAGGTTACACGTTTCGAAGAATATTTGGAAAAAACAAAGAAAATTGAACAAGAAATAACGGTTTTGCAGGACACCATCAAGAGAAACAATATACGTATAATGGGAATTCCAGAAGGAATGAGAGGAAGTCCAGAAAAATGTTTTGAAAAATAATGGCAGAAAACTTCCCAGATATCGTGAAAGACAATATTTTAATTGAAGAAGCTCAATGAACCCCATCTTGGTTCAATCCTAAGAGAAAAACACCAAGACATATGATAATTAAGCTTTCCAAAACTAAAGATAAAGAAAGACTTTTGAAAGCAGCTCAAAAAAAGCAAAATATCAAATACAAAGTTATCCCAGTAAGAATAAGTGCTGATTTCTCCTCTAAAACTATGCAAGCAAGAAGGGAATGGGGTGACATATACAGAATCTTGAAAGAATTTAACTATCAGCCAAGGATACTATACTCAGCAAGACTGTCATTCAAAATTGAGGGTGAAGTTAAGATATTCCCAGATATTAAGAAGAGTCCTCCAGAAAGGAGACCAACAGTCAGCAACTGAGGATAGTGACATTGAATAGTCACTTGAATATATATCACAACAAAATTATAGGAAATCTGGGATGCAAAGTTGAAATGAGCAATAAAAGGAATTGTGATTAGTTTAATACATAATTTTTACACACTGAAGAAAAAAGCAGTTTTAAGAAATAGCATTGTTTTAAATGTAGGACATTAAGTTTATAATACCTAGTATAACCCACAAAGTAAATAGATCAGCTAAATGAAGAAAAATGACTCAATACCAAAAACAGCAATAATTAATAAAAGGGAATTTTTTTAAAAGCCTGGAAGTAAATGGGAACAAAGAAGCCATCAACCTCACACACAAATATAACAGTAACAAAATTCTTATATAAATATGTGGATGAAAATATGGCATAGAGGAACATTGGAGCAGAAGGGTATAAATATCCTCAAAGGATTGTGGGGATAGGGAATAATA